GTCGATTAAGTCTCTGGATTCGGAGCGCCCTTCGTGGATATCACGATTGGCCAAATTAAAGTCTTCGGATTCGGAGCGCCTTCCAGTGCATGACACCTTAGGGCCAATTAAAGCCTCCGGATTCGAAGCGCCCTTCTTAGATATCACGATTGACCAAATTAAAGTCTCCGGATTCGGAGCCCCTTTCGGTGCATAACACCTTAGGGCGGATTAAGTCTCCGTATTCAGAGCTCCTTTCGGTGCATGACACCTTAGGGCCGACCAAGCCTCTGGATTCGGAGCGCCCATCGTGGATATCACGGTGGGCCAAATTAAAGTCTCCGGATTCAGAGCCCCTTTCGGTGCATGACACCTTAGGGCCGATTAAAGCCTCCGGATTCGGAGCGCCCTTCGTGGATATCACAATTGGCCAAAGTAAAGTCTCCGGATTCGGAGCCCCTTTCGGTGCATGACCCCTTAGGGCCGATTAAGTCTCTGGATTCGGAGCCCCTTTCGGTGCATGACACCTTAGGGCCGAGTAATTCTCCGAATTCGGAGCCCCTTTCGGTGCATGGCACCTTAAGGCCGATTAAGTCTCTGGATTCGGAGCCCCTTTCGGTGCATGACCCCGGATTCGGAGCGCCTTCGTGGATATCACGATTGGCCAAATTAAAGTCTCCAGATTCGGAGCCCCTTTCGGTGCATGACACCTTCGTGCCGATTAAAGTCTCCAGATTTAGAGGGCCTTCGTGGATATCACAATTGGCCAAATTAAAGTCTCCGGATTCGGAGCCCCTTTCGGTGCATGACACCTTAGGGCTGATTAAGTCTCCGGATTCAGAGACCCTTTCAGTGCATGATCCTGGATTCGGAGCGCCTTCGTGGATATAACGATTGGCCAAATTAAAGTCTCCGGATTCGGAGCCCCTTTCGGTGCATGACACCTTAGGGCCGATTGAAGTCTCTGGATTCGGAGCGCCTTCGTGGATATCACAATTGGCCAAATTAAAGTCTCCGGATTCGGAGCCCTTTTCGGTGCATGACACCTTAGGGCCGATTAAGTCTCCGAATTCGGAGCCCCTTTTCGGTGCATGACACCTTAGGGCCGACCAAGCCTCCAGATTCGGAGCGCTTTCGTGGATATCACGACTGGCCAAATTAAAGTCTCCGGATTCAGAGCCCCTTTCGGTGCATCACACCTTAGGGCCGATTAAAGTCTCCGAATTCGGAGCGCCTTCGTGGATATCACAATTGGCCAGCCCTTCGTAGATATCACGATTGGCCAAATTAAAGTCTTCGGATTCGGAGCCCCTTCCAGTGCATGACACCTTAGGGCCAATTAAAGCCTCCGGATTCGAAGCGCCCTTCGTAGATATCACGATTGGCCAAATTAAAGTCTTCGGATTCGGAGCCCCTTCCAGTGCATGACACCTTAGGGCCAATTAAAGCCTCCGGATTCGAAGCGCCCTTCGTAGATATCACGATTGGCCAAATTAAAGTCTTCGGATTCGGAGCCCCTTCCAGTGCATGACACCTTAGGGCCAATTAAAGCCTCCGGATTCGAAGCGCCCTTCGTAGATATCACGATTGACCAAATTAAAGTCTCCGGATTCGGAGCCCCTTTCGGTGCATAACATCCTAGGGCGGATTAAGTCTCCGTATTCGGAGCTCCTTTCGGTGCATGACACCTTAGGGCCGACCAAGCCTCTGGATTCGGAGCGCCCTTCGTGGATATCACGGTGGGCCAAATTAAAGTCTCCGGATTCAGAGCCCCTTTCGGTGCATGACACCTTAGGGCCGACCAAGCCTCCGGATTCGGAGCGCCCTTCGTGGATATCACGATTGGCCAAATTAAAGTCTTCGGATTCGGAGCCCCTTCCAGTGCATGACACGTTAGGGCCAATTAAAGCCTCCGGATTCGAAGCGCCCTTCGTAGATATCACTATTGGCCAAATTAAAGTCTCCAAATTCGGAGCCCCTTTCGGTGGCTGACACCTTAGGGCCGAGAAAGCCTCCGGATTCGGAGCCCCTTTCGGTGCATGACACCTTCGTGCCGATTAAAGTCTCCAGATTCAGAGGGCCTTCGTGGATATCACAATTGGCCAAATTAAAGTCTCCGGATTCGGAGCCCCTTTCAGTGCATGACACCTTAGGGCTGATTAAGTCTCCGGATTCAGAGACCCTTTCAGTGCATGATACTGGATTCAGAGCGCCTTCGTGGATATCACGATTGGCCAAATTAAAGTCTCCGGATTCGGAGCCCCTTTCGGTGCATGACACCTTAGGGCCGATTAAGTCTCCGGATTCGGAGCCCCTTTCGGTGCCTGACGCCTTAGGGCCGACCAAGCCTCCGGATTCGGAGCGCCCTTCGTGGATATCACGATTGGCCAAATTAAAGTCTCCGGATT